GAAAAATTCCACATCTCAAATTGCTGTATTTTCTGTCCAAGTTCGGATTTTTTCTCAATGTCTGTATTTTGTCTTCAGAAATAACAAGGAAAGTTTGACTATACACCTTTCTTTTATTTTTGACTTACTTTTGGAAAATTTCAAGTCCAAACATGACTATATTTTGCCTTTGAAAATATTAGTGATGAACATACTGTATGGTACAGGCATTGAAAATTTTCCATGTCCAAACATCTGTCTTCAAAAATATTACACAGACTTTGAAAAAATACTTTTACACTGCACAATTTTCTAGAAAATATTACTGACTGGTCAAACTCTTATTCTGACTTACATTGAAAATTGTCCATGGCCGAGTTCTGTCCTATAATAAAGACTCATTAAATACAAAACAAGAGGAAGATGAACAATGTGAAAGGACCAAACACTCAAAACACATTTGTTGAAATAGGTAAAAGTCAGTGAAAGGCAACTAAACCAACTATGAGGTAAGCACTTCCACCCAAGAAGAGAACTATAGGCCTATATCATTCCCTCAAAAATCCCAGGAAAAATTCTGGAAATTCTTATCACCCCACCGACTCACAAACTAGTCAGTACCCATTAGCCGAACAATTGGTGTAGAGCACTTCCAGGAATGGAGAGATTCCCGGATAAATTATATCTACTCTTCAAAGCTGGAAAAATCCTCATCTAAGGAATTTTGGGTAACAGAAAAATATTCTCAGAAGTTCCAGAAATTTTTCTTATTTCATCCCCCATCCCCGAATTTTCCCGAGACTGAAAAAATAATCTCAGAATTGTCCAGAAAAACGTCCTCGAAAAATCGTTCTCAAAGCTGATTTTTCTGGAAAATTCGCTTTGGGGAACGATTTTCCAGAAAATTTCAATTCAAGCAGCGGAGAGTTCTGGGTTTGAGGGATTCTGCCTTAACAAAGATATTACTATACCTCAACACGAGCACTGAACAGTAAAACCCAGGCAACGTGGATTCCAATAAAAACAGAGTGCGGCCAAACACACCTATAGTGCCAACAACAGAGATCAGTGCAGCATTACACCCTACAGATGTGTCTAAAAGCTTTGATAAAGTCTGGGTATGAAGAACCTTAATACAAGATTACCCAACTCTTACTCACTACCCAAACTCACAACATGAAGCTATATAAACTTACCGGGTGAAAAATATACAATGATTTAAAAATAGGTTAATGTTAGTGGACTACAACTCAAGCTATACCGAATAAGTTATCTATGATCCCTTGCCAGCATCAACACTCCCCTAGAAATGTTAACACAATGGAGAGTAATGAGTATGAAAGGCTCTCCTGCTTCATAGACTGAGTAAGAGGTGGTTTTTAATTATTTTTAGATGGCGCTAAATGTTGGCTTACAAGAAGCCACAGAGACAGCCATGTCGCATTAAATGCGTGCTATGCCAAGATCAGGGAAAACACATCTGCCGCATATGATAATGACTTAAAAGTTCTCCAGCATTTGTCAGCACTGCGAGCACTTTTGCCATTCATAAACAGCATGTGGCAGTCCACATTATATCCCCACAGAGTGAATCTTCCGCAACATGAAATCTAATAAAAACTTGGAAAATTTGCCAATATTCTTTTTAAATTAGTTGATCAAGACTAGAACTGAATATATAATTTATGTTTTGCAAATTTCCAAATCTATTATGAGTCACGCTTAATACTGCCCCCGTAAGCTGCCTCCTCACTGCCACGCACAGACAGACAGTACGAAACAGTCCTCGAAGACCAGCAAAGAACAGACCAGCTAGTACACAAACAGTAACACACACACAGAACATACCATAACCATACTCAATTACCGAACACACACACACACACACTAGGAACCACAATATGGCATAAACCCATCAAATACTGTACAGGACCCCATAATACATTAACTAACACAAGAAAATAATAACACATCACACAGCTGGCAGCCAAGAAGCCTAAACACCTGACAACGCTTGAACCAGAACTATAATATACAGTACACAATGAAAATCAACAAAGACTGTACACACAAAAAGATGAGAAAGACCACAAATAGTCGAAGTTTTCTTTGTGACTAAAACTACAATGATGACATATTTAAATCTCCCTAGACTACAGAGACACTAGATGATTTAACTCAGCTCAAGAGGGACACATACACAAGGGGATTAAGTTTGCCTAGACAAAGTTTAGTTTCAATTTGGTACTTAGAACAAAATTTAAAACCCCATTTAACCTGTGTCCCCGTCTTCCGCTGAAGCTTGAAGATCCGGTGATTCTTGCACCTCCAAGCCAATCTAAAAAGAGGAAAATCGCCAACGAAAGTGAACTTCTAAGACGCATTTACCGGACAAAAACAAGGGGTCACAACTTGGTATAAGTTCTTCATATTTAACATTAACTCCAGTACTTAATTTTCCTCATGTTATCTTTCCTATCTGTCAACCGTAGTTCAAACTCTTACTTCACGCCTCAGCAAGTTCGCTATACTGTATTAGTAAATATGTTTAAGTCAACAAATACTAAAAATAATGACCCAGTAAATCATACTTACAAGTTATTAATGTGACAGCCATCACCGAGCCATCCTAATCAGTGTTACACAAGGAGGGGTGAAGCCTTACACCTGGCTGCACTGGTCTGTGGGAAGAAGGGTAATACAGTACAGGATGACCCTTACCATTTGCAACCTCTTTATCCTCAATTCACATTTTAACACCCCATTCAATATTTGTAAAGCATCCCTCCTCCCTTATTCACTAAGAAAAAATTAGTCCCCTACAATAATAATGGTGGATACAGTTCATCACCACACACAGCCTCACCAACACCACACTCACGGCCTCTCACCACACAAGGCTCACTCACCACACTCTCACGGGCTCTCACCACACACAGCTCCTCATCACCACACACAGCTCATCACTACACTCACGGCTCACCACACAGCTCACCACCACCAGACTCCGCTCACCACAACTCACCGCTCAGACACACAGGTCATCCAAATCTAAATTATCTTATTATCTAACTTATTTTTATGCTACAAGAAACAAAATGTCCACTTCATAATAATATACATCTAATACAACACAGTTCATCTCACCACATAATCCATTAAAACTAAAACACAAAAATATGATCAAGATTTACTTAAATACAACAGGAATAGGTGTTTTTTTTTATGTTTTTACGGTGATTGAATGAACACGACCTTACTTGCCAAGCTAATGGTTATTTATGAGATATGTTCTGTGATTTGAAGATGAGGGAAAACGTGGGGATAATCACACCAACCAGACCTTTATAAACCTAACCTAACCATTCTAACCCAATAAAGTCATAATAATATAGAAACATTACCTCTATTTTACTGATGGAGGAGGAAAATTTTGATCTTTTTATTTTTAGTGTTTTAGGAGTTTCGTCAGGGATGGTCTTCTTGTTTTGTGTTGAATGTGTCGAGATAAAATAAGTATTTTCTGTTTAATATGGTGGGGAGTTTGCCCTCTGGCTAGGAAGTTTGGTAAGGTTAGGTAGGTTTAATTAGTCTGGCTAAGAAGTAAGGTAAGGTTACTGTAGGTAGGTTCCTTTGGTTGGTTAGGTTAGGCTCCTAATAAATATTGCCTCTTTTAAAATACTTCCTATAATGCTTAGGAACAAATCTTGTGAAAAATGAAACAAATCTGCAAACTATTTCTGGTGATCTTGGTGTTTTAATACATTATGTAAAATGTTTGTGCATGGGGTAAATTTCTCAAGTGGGTTAGGTCAGGTTTCTTTGGTTAGGTTAGGTTAGGTTTCTTTGCTGCTGATGTTGTACTAGGCTGTTTATTCTCGTTTCCATTATCGTGTTCAGTATCGAGCAAAACAGAAGCTATTCATTTGTGCCATAAATGAAGGTCCAATTGCTGATAACGCCTCAAAACCACCGGAAACACTCAGCTCGACTGCTTTTCTGGAACCATGTCAACCCTTAACTAATAACTTGTACCCACTTAACGAGGCAGTTCGTATGGCTCCAGGTTGTCTTGGGTACGATGACCTTAACCGTTTCGACTTTAATTTCAAAGTAGTGTCGCTGACCTAACTACACAAACACATCAATCATACTAACCTGTTTAAACTAATCAGGCTAAAAAACATCGATAAATAAAGTAATTAATCAATATTACCTTGACCCCAGCTCCCGGACCTCCTGGTTGTTTTCTAATACTCCCAGACGAGACACCCCTTTCCCTGATGGGTGGCCCAATGAGGCCTTAACCTGATGGCTCTCACCTCCTTATACAGCCTTATGATGCCCCTTTAAATAAAACTATATTAGTATGTAATTAAGTCTATGGAAATAAAATAAGCTTTTGGGGTCAACTGAAAAACGTCAGTATTTCTAATACGAGTTTAACTGATAATGTTACTTCATTGTTGGGGAAACTATGTAAATTATAGATCTATTACACAACTGCAAACTTTGGAAGTATTCTAACTATACTACTATCAAAACTGTACAATGGTGTAACGGTTATACCATTGTACAGTTCTCAATTTTTCACTCCATTCCCCTTGACATGGCCCTGTAGGGGTATGAGATGTTTGGTTCACACCTAGGATGGAATGGAGAAAGGAAACTCACAATGTGCTCTCTGTATACATGTTGTATTGGATGTACAGTGCAGCTTGGGGAATTGGTGGGGTCAGCTACTCAGGGGAGAAATTCACTTCATCACTTTGGTAAGGGAAACTATGTTAAGTCTTGTTAAGTTTATTTTACTCTCTCCTCTTGGTCACAGATCGTCTTGTTACTTCACACTCTAGTGCCTCTTGAGTTATTCTAAAGGTATAAACTATATTTACTGTGTTATTACCGTACATATGGTGGTCCTCACATAATGTGCTTGAATACTTCTCACTCAAATGTGAATAACAAAGTGTGAGGCCAGACATACTGCCTCACCCTGTACTCACGCATTTGTGAATAAGTTACCCTTTATGTATAGAACTAAACAAATAATGTAAATAAAATACTGTGTAACATTCAGTGCCATAACATCCTGACCACAGGGGTTAATTATCCTGACCCTTTGTAAACTCTACTCTATAATCCTTTTGCACTACCGCTCACAGGATGAATATAGAGTGCACAATAAACTAGCTGCTGTAAGTGGCAAATAACCACTACAAAACAAAAACACCACAACCAATCAGTACCCATCAGGACAAACAGTTACAAACATATGTTGTGTTCTGATTGCTGTTATGGTGTTATATATCCGTTCAGTGAGGGTGGTGGAGTGGAGCGTGGTAGAGAACACAGTATGGGTGATGAACTGTGGTAGAACAGCCATCTTAGTCATGAACTGCGGCACCTGTATGGGGGAGAACAAGTAGCCACAGAATTAATAAATCGATTGTTTATATTATCCATCTGAATGAGTGTCTGTTCAATGAGCTGTTGTTTATAACTTAGGACGGTGTGTGTGTGTGTGTGTGTGTTAATGGTGGGGGTGTGTGTGTGTTAATGGTGGTGTGTGTGTGTGTGTGTGTGTGTTAATGGTGTGTGTGTGTGTGTGTGTGTTAATGGTGGTGGTGTGTGTGTGTGTGTGTGTGTGTGTGTATGTGTTAATGGTGGTGTGTGTGTGTGTGTGTGTGTGTGTAATGGTGGTGTGTGTGTGTGTGTATAGTGGTGTGTGTGTGTGTGTGTGTGTGTGATGGTGGTGTGTGTGTGTGTGTGTGTGTTAATGGTTGTGTGTTAATGGTGGTGTGTGTGTGTGTTAATGGTGTGTGTGTGTGTGTGTGTGTTAATGGTGGTGTGTGTGTGTGTGTGTTAATGGTGTGTGTGTGTGTGTGTGTTAATGTGGTGTGTGTGTGTGTGTGTGTGTGTGTTAATGGTGTGTGTGTGTGTGTGTGTTGGTGTGTGTGTGTGTGTGTGTGTGTGTTAATGGTGGTGTGTGTGTGTGTGTGTGTGTGTGTAATGGTATTGTGTGTGTTAATGTCAATGCAGTATTTTTCCTTACATTGACTCACTAAGACCCACATACATATAAAATACATACAAAGTTAAACATATTTACTCACCATTTGTGTTTGAGTGACAAAATAAGGAACCGATTTGGTTGATATAATCGTCTGGGTCATAATCTGATTCGCTTGGAAGTAAGTTGATCGTTTTCTGTTAGATAAAAATAAACATCATTAAATATCATGAATTATAGTGATATTAGTAAGATAGTAATAGTAATAGTAGTTGTAGTATCTACATATTCTTAACCACGGGCATATTTCTATATTCAGTCTTATCCATCCAAATAGTTTTAGCATCGCATATATTGTTGGCATTACCACGACCATCATTCCTGTATTGCTGTTTCTGCTGACCGCTGTACCTGCTGTGATGCTGTAACTCTCTCTGCTGCTGTAAATGCTGTATCCCCGGCCCGCTGTAATAGTTTATCCCTCTGTAATGCTGTGGTTGGTGTTGTCCACTGCTGTGATATGATTCCGTCACGGTCCCTATGATCATCACAGCAAAACAGAGAGCTGTGTAGTGTAGACTGAGCATCTGTAGGAGAAAAGAAAACGTTATCTGTCTACCTGTCTGTCTATTTATCCATCTATCTAACTAAAAACAAACACCAAGTCTATCTATCAACAAACAAACACACACACAAACATTAAAACAAAATAATTTACCATGATTGAGTTAAATCTTTCGTGGGAATTCACTTTAAATTCAACTTAAACTCAGGAGAAACACATACCATACACGACACACCATACACGACACACCATGCACGACACACCATAATTACACACCATACACGACACAATCATACTGTACACTATACACCACCTTCTTGTAGCTGTCACCAACACCAACTGATACGACAATAAGACCAGACCAGACAGACGGATGGATGATTCAGCTTGTGTTACTTTCCATACCATTATTCACACTTCATACTTGCTAATTATATACGTGGGGGGGAGGAGGAGGGGGGGAGAGGGGGAGAGGAGGGGAGGGGGGAGGAGAGGGGGGGGGGGGGGAGAGGGGGAGGGAGGGAGAGGGGAGGGGAGGGGGGAGGGGGGGGGGCTTTCACTGGCTGGGAAATCAACTGGGAGAGAGAGAGAGAGAGAGAGAGAGAGAGAGAGAGAGAGAGAGAGAGAGAGAGAGAGAGAGAGAGAGAGTAAGAATCGTGTATAATGTGAGAATCGTCATAGCCATTTAGAGATATTTTCACACGTTTAGGATCTCAATGAGAGAGAGAGAGAGAGAGAGAGACAGAATTAATTACATTTCACATCTATCAACCATCACCACCACCACACCACCACCACCACCACCATCACCACCATCCACCACCACCACCACCACCACCACCACCACCACCACCACCACCACACCACCACACCACCACCACCACCACCACCAACACCACCACCACCACCACACCACCACCCACCACCACACCACACCACCACCACCACCACCACCCACCAACACCACACCACCACCACCCCCACCACCACCACCACCACACCACAACCACACCACCACCCACCACCCCAACACCTGACCAACACCACCACCACCACCATCACCACCACACCACCACCACCCACCACCACCACCACCACACACCACCACCCACCACCACCACCAACCACCACCCACCACCACCACCACACCACAATCTCACACCACCACCACCACCACCACCACCACCACACCACCACCACCACCCACCACACCACCCACACACCACCACTACACCACACCACACCATCACCACCACCACCACACCACCACCACCACCACACCACCACACCACCAACCACCAACCAACCAACCACCACCACCACCACTATCACCACCACCCACCACCAACACACCACCACACACCACCACCACACCACACCACCACCACCCCCACCACACCACACCACCACACCACCACCACACCACCACCACCCCACCACCACACCACACCACCCACCCACCACCACACCACCACCACACACACCACCACCCACCACCACCACACCACCACCACCACACCACCACCACCCCACCACACCACCCACACACCACACCACCACCACCACCACCACCCACCACCCACACCACCACCACACCACCTACTCACCACTCACCACCACCACCACTCACCACTACCACCACCAACAATACCCCACTTAACGCCGTGAGAACAGAGCTTCACCAGAGTTCAGAACACCCTCGGGGAACAACGCCATTGACTATACTAAAATGATTGTTAAATGATTGCCAATGATTGTGATCTGTTGGGCTGTGTTGTGGCTGTTGTGGTCTGTGTAGGAGTTGTCTGGTTGTGTTGTGACAGCGTTAAAGGCTTGTGTTGTGTTGCATACTGCGTTGTGCTGTGTTTTACTGAGTTCGTTAGTTGCTGTGATTCTGGACTGTGCTCTTTCCTGTAACAGCAGCTGTGCTGTGCTGTGCTGTGCTGTGGTGGCAGGCAGGGAGACACATCCTACCCTAATTTGCATATCAATAAAGTGCAAAGGGGTGTGTGTGTGTGTGTGTGTGTGTGTGTGTGTGTGTGTGTCTGTGTGTGTTCCCTGGCTAATGTTCTTAACGAGAATAGGTTAGATTAGATTAGGGTGAACTAGGGGTAGATTATGATAGATTAGGTATATTTAAACCAACAGATGAACTAAACTACGTAAAAAACCTAACCTAACCTAACCAAAGCTCAGTAAACACACACACACACACACACAGACACACACACAGACAGACATTAAAATTATCTCGATCTGTTTCACATGACAGTAGCTGAACATAATAAAAACTACAATTAAAATCACTGGAACATAGCAATACGTAACTGAACGAAGCACAATG